TTGTTAGTCTGAAAATTTGACTCAAATTAAGTCAAATATTTCTGCCAATGGTGTAAGAAAATTTTACTTGGTAAGATTCTTCAAATAAGAAAAAAAATGAGTCAAATCAAGTATTTCAAGAATCTTACCAAGTAAAATTTTCTTACTCCATTGGCAGAAATTTTGACTTAATTTGAGTCAAATTTTCAGACTAACAAGACAAACAATCTTACGCATTCTGAAAACAAGATTATTAGTCTTACACAATCAGTCTTTGTTTAGTAAATCAGTCTCAAAACAAGATCAAAAAGACTTTTTGGCTGGATATAAGATTTTAAAACTTGTTAAGATGGACATTTTTTTGCAGTGCAGTCAAAATGTTTTGCTAGTTTTGAACAAATTGTCAGTCTCTAGTTACTGCAATAATGGAGTTGTGTAACAAGAGACAGTGAAGACAAAGGAGGCACTGATGGCTGTCCCGTGAAGCAGTATACCAACTTGTGTGAGTGCAGGGGAGCACCTATTAGAGGAGGTGTAATGGTCTCTATCAGCATAATGAACTGTTGACCCCAGCAAGAGGAAGTGCTCAGCCAGCTGCACGTCATTTTTCATCTTCCTGATAGACCTTAAAAGAGAGGTAGAAAGAGGGAACATAAGGGTGGGAGAAAGACCAGGTGGGTGTGATGATAAAAATAGCTGGCCCTGTGAAGTGTGGCTAAGTGTTTTATGGAGGTCTTCTAAGTCATGACCTTTGTGAATTTTAAAGAGTGTTCATCTCAACTTGTTATTCAAAGGCTGATGTGTGTCACAGTGACAGACCTAACATGGTGAAACACAGCCTCAGCCTGGTGTCATTTATCTCTGTTTCTTTTTAAAGCACAGGATGATCAGGATTCTCTGTTGCCATGTTGTTCAAGGGGGTGTCGATATGGGCTTGTTTACATATGTTTTCATGTAATTATTAAATTTTGTGTCCTTTCCCAATACTGCCTTATCCCTCTGCTTTATGATGCAACAGGATATGGTTAAAAAAGAGATAGTTCTCCTATTTTTTTTTTTTTTTTTAGTTATCTGGTGTCAACAAGTCTTATTTGGTGTAGATTGCTTTTTGGACAACGTTAGTTTGGAGAAATGAAGTTTAATCCTGATTGGACTGAGTGTGGCTGAGACCAAAGGGAATTGTTTATCAAACTCCAAAAACTGCCCATATTTTATTTGAGTTGAATTGTATAAAGTTTCACATCCCAATCAGTTTTATATGACATTCTTATATTGAGTATTATGAAAAGTGTGCATTAATTACTCTCACTTTCTTCTCAGACCTTGTGTGAAGAATGGGTTCTGGGAGCTCCTATAAGAACAAAAAGATGTAATTTTGGTCTTGCATCAGAGAGAGCAGAATTCTCCACTTAAGTAAAAATACAGCTATTAGCTAATTAATAAAATCAGAATCCAAATATACTTCTCCAAATTTTGGTAATTTAAAGAGCTTTCTATAATAAGCAAGATGTTATTGTCTAAAATCTTTCCACAAAACTTTAAAAAGATTTTAATCATCACTTTAAGCAATACATTATTTGGATTTAACTAAAGAAAGAATTGCTAAAAAATCATACTACTAAGCATTAGCAGTGGAGAAAAGTAGATATCAGTTTTATTACTGGCTTAGTGTTCTTTGAGATTATTATTATTTGACTGCACTTGTTGTTTTATCAAAACTTTTTAGAATTTCATAGGATCTTAGGATTTATCCCCTACCATTTAAATATGATTTTTTTGTTTAGAATCAACCCAAATTCAAGATGGCTGCCATGGCTAATTTACTTCAGAAAACATAAAAATGGCTGTAACTCAGTAAGTGTACAGATACTGTATTTAGACAAAGTGTTAGTATTGGTTGGTATTTGCAAAAGCATTAATCCTGATTAACCCTTGAACCCAGGCTACAATATTTATAAAATAAAAGATAAAACAACCAGGAATGTTACTTATTGTATCACTTTTTTCAGTTTGCCTACCACATTTCTCACAACACAGCTTCCATAAAAATGGAGTTTAGGAATGATGTTCTCTTGGTAAGAGGGTGTCATATTTACATCTTCACCCTGGAACAAAAAAAATATTGTTTTGTTTTCAGTGTTATCAACTTCTTTGTCACAAAAAGGGTTTTGTTTCAACAAAATATCTTCATTTTATAAAAACTGAATGCTGCAACAATATGTGCACATTTCATACACGTCTTTCTCTCAGTCCAGTGTGTTTGCTACAGCGTGCTCTGTGTGATCACGAGCGTGGGGCAGAGGGAGAGAGGAAAAATGAGCCTGCCAGTGGTTAATTGAGCATACAGATTCCTAATGTGTCAGGCAGTGGCCTCGCAGATGAAGGATGGCACTTTTTTTACAACGTATCTTCCTTTGTTTCCTCTTTAGGTCTAATGAAGTCGGCCTCTTAGTTGCCACCTGGGCCGGACGTTCAGACACCAGAGACACTGATGTCCTCGTTCACAGAGTCTGATAGTGATTCAAACATCTTCAACACCCCCCTTACCCCTAAACCTCAGGACGCCTGAAGATAAATACACACATATGTGTGCGCGCGTACGCACACACACAAACACACACACACACACGCACACAGGATGAGTTATTAGCTGGAAGTTTGCGATAAACTCACACAATCATGCTTGCAGCATATTCATTATGAAAGCCGCAGACCTGTTTATTTTTACAGTCTCCAAACAGCAAGCATCCATTATCCAAAGTTCTTTTTTTTGTGTGTGTGTATGTCTCTTGCTTGTCTTTTTTTTTTCCTTCCATGCCTTTAGGTCACCCACTAATGAGCTTAACACGTAGGAAACATGGAAGCGATTAGACGAGGCTTGGCTGTTTGAGCAACGGGATGATGATATTGTAGCTTATGATTACAGGCGTTTCTGTCAACAAAAACAGGAGAGAAGAAGCAACACAAAAAACAGATTCCATGGTTTTCAGTCACAGAGCAACTTCACCTGGATTGAGATGTGTGCAAAAGCAAATATTTATTGTTGGTGAAACTGAGCCTGAAGATCCTTTTGTGCAACTTTGTCTTTAATATAGCAACTTGGGGCCAAGTTGTTCTGGGCACCCAAACATGTTCAAGGTGCTCCATGACCATATGTTTGTTCACTGGGGAGTGGAAACAGTGAAGGGCTGGACTGTATGACCTTCACCCAGGTTGAGCATTGAATACTCCAGGCTCTGCTGGATTGGGTTCATGCCAGGCAAACTAAAGGAGAGGAGCATCCTAGATTTGAAACTGAATCAAGTTTGTCTGATCCGTACTTTTTAAGGATTGCTGAGTTTATTTTAAAAACAGAGGCCAATTCTTTCAAAACCTTTACATGTTAAGCATGATCATGCAGCAAGTTAACATACTCAGATCTATGCCTAAAGTAAAAAAAAAATGTGTGAAAAGATATACACTTACTTATAAAAATAATATTGTGTTGTCATATTTAACCCATATTGTTAATATAGGTAGATTTTTTGTTTTGTTTCTAATTATTTACATACAGATGTGAATAACTTTGAGAAAAAATATATACAAAAATTATATACACCTGTGACTTTACTGCAAATAACGCTGCGAAAATTTGAATGATGAGAGCTTGAATGTGCTGCTAATGACTCTGCCACATAAAACTTTACCTCAGTCTCTATAAACTTTTTATTTATAAAAAGTATTTTTTTTCACTGTAGGAATAATTCACACTACCTGGAGAAAACCCATGCAAACACAAGGAGAACTTACAAACTCAACAGAGAAAGGCCCAAACTAGGGGCTGAACTCAGGACCTTCTTGCTGTGAGGCAACACTGCTGAACCAGTGCCTTCAGACACTTAAATCGCTCTAGACCAGCATCAACCATAGTGTGGAAAGACACACGTTTGGAGGAGCCTATTGGTTGTTTTACTCTGCCGGTCTTTATTTAATCGTGGATGAAATAAATGAAGTGTCTTTGTTTTAATTACTGAGAGCAAGAGCACATCACACTCATCAGATAATTGGTCATAATTAATTCACCCGATAAATCAGAGGAGTTTTGAGTTTGGTGAGTTTCACCACTCCAAGAACTGCACACTGACGAGTGTTTCTTTCAGCAATATTTTTGTCCAGAGCTCAGTTTGACAAACTGCTGACTCACATCGGTGCCCACATTTCCTGCCAGGATGATTACAGGCACTTGATTTCAGTTAAAGAGCTGCTGTCCATCTATCTATCTTAAGTTAGTGGGCATCATTTAGGACAGGGGTTCTTAACCTTTTTAACCTTGGGGCCCAATTTATTGAACATAAAGTGACACGAGGCCCAGTCAGACATTACCAAAGTATGGATCAAAATGATAATTATTCTAAATCTTGGTTTATTGTATTTACATTATAACTAAATTAAATGCACTTACATTTTAAAGGTAAACCTGTCAAATAATCACAAGACGTGATTATGACAAACAATTTTTATATTGTTACCTGCCCATAACAATTATTTGAACAAATACAAAGGTCAGTCAACAGACCACCCGGGCTTATCAGCACAAATAAAACATTTTTATATTGTAACCTGCCCATAACAATTATTTGAACAA